TAAAGATCTGTAGAACTAAACTGAATCAAGACCAACGGAATTTGAAAAATCAAAAACATAGGAATAAATAAACACAGTGGAATTTGAAAAGGAAACAAAGAAAATGTTCTTGAAAGCCTTGTTATTATAAGAGAAGGCTCAGATTCCAGGATTCACAAAACTGAAATGAATCATTTACATTTTAATATCTCCCTATTAGCTGTAGAGAGAAATTAATTAAAGCCAAAGGGGAGAATTTGATAGTACTGTATAAATAGCTGCTAAAATCTAAAGTGAAGCAACAGTTTATGAAATATGTTAATATCAGGGATAAAGTATCTCAAGTGCTTCCCAGGGCTTTTCAGCAGGGAGCAAAGCACACATCCAGGCAGAACTGATGGTGGGATTTGGATCCTGTTCATATGTTTCCAAGCTCCAGCAGGACCCCAGTGTTGAGACGTCCACTTCTTATTGTTAGCAGCTCATTTTTTGCACCTTGAAGAGACAAAGAAAACCCCCTAGAACACAGTGGGAATGCTCCAAAGGGTTTAGTATTACAACACACAAATCACTATAAGCAGAAAAATCATTAGGCAGCACTTACTAGCAACATAGCTTGTGTGCCAGGGTGGAAGAAATTGTCCAAGTAGTGATTTCTGAGAAGAATTTTTTTTCCTGAAAAAACTTCTTACATTTTACAGAAACAAGCAAACAGAAAAGCACATTGCTATTTTTAAGGCTAATTTTCTAAGGGCAAGGTTTAAAAGAATAAAAACAATTATTCACAACGCTGTGCTATTGCACACATATTTACACTCATCGTGAGCATTTACTTTTCGAGCTCTGAGGATGTTACTCTGCTGGTGGCTGTGCAAGCACGCAGTGTGCTCATCCTCATCTGATCCTGTGTGGCCCAACACTGTTGCTTCTGACCTGTTCCCATTTTTTGCCTCCACTACTTTCCTGTGCTTCCTGAAAGAAAATTAGACAAGAAAAGCATGTATGATAGACTCACGAGGCCTCTTACATGGTCATTTGGTCACCTGTCCACTGCATTCTGATCAGAAATCTGAGGTCCAGAATGGTCAGAGGAACTGCCCGATTCCACACTGCTACCACAAAGGGGAGATGCCACTCTCTGCCATATTCCCTGCTTCCAGAAATTCCCTTCCAGAAATACACCATTAACCAAAATGATCTACTTTACAGTTTTATGTGGATATTGACTATCTTCAGAACATTGTAATCTATACAGCTATGGATATAGGAAACTTCACTGTCTTATTAATATTTGTATCCCAATTATTTAAAAGGTCTAGAATATCATGGGACTAATATTTGTTTATTGATTAACGAACTATAATGTTGAGGTCTTATTCATAAAATATATTTGCAAATCTATACCAAATAATACTATTAAAAAAGCATAGAATGATTGAAATACCTAGATGGATTTATCCAGAAATAGGTCTATCATAAACGCTACCTAACTTCTGCAGTTTTAATTAATAAAACTAAATGGGGAGTATTGATATTTTCAACTTCATGACAGTTATGGGTTGCATGGGCTTCCATGTCCTGGGGATATGAGGAAAGCCCAGAAATCCTACTTGGTTGGACACTGATAGTACTTAACCGATATCCATGCTCACTTCCCCTTACCCAGTTAAGTATATTTACTTTCTCAAACTCCCTCCCATCAGGGAAGGGCGGCCCGGTGGCACAATTCCGGTCCACAAGACATTAGCTGAGCACTTCCGGTTCTTTACTCCTGATTCTTCACCTTTCTTCCCCCATTCCTTCTGCTCAGAACCTACCAGATACCTCGAAAAGCGTCTCTCGTAGGACCTTGCGGTTACAACTCCCGACCTGTTAAGGCAAAGGAGTGCCTCTTCTGTGCTCTACCAGTCATGGACCTTTCGGTACATGGCTGAAGCAAGCTTTTTGTGCTGACTTTGTATTACTTGCTGCCAAATGCTTTCCTACCTGACACTGTTTTGAACTTATTAAAATGAACTTACTTTCTAATGTACATATCTGAGGGAAAATCCTCTAGGCTTCTCTTCCCTTCTTTAGAAGGAAGGATGCAACCCAGTACTCAATGGTGCTTTCCAGCTGGAAACAACACTCCCACCTGCAGGCTGGTCTTGACTTTGGAAAACAAAAGCCTACGGTGGTGATGTGTGCTAGACACAAGTTGTGAGTTTACTTTCAGGTACCCTTCAGGTGCCTTTTTTAAAGCTATTCTGAAAAACTGTTCACAAAATCCACCCAACTATTCTGTTACATCTAGGATTCTCAGTAGCATCGTAGACTTCTAGGATTTACTATTCGCGTTGCCTTATGTTAGCCCTGTGGATACTGCGAGTTAAAGAAAGGGAAGAAATACAAAGTCATACTGGTGGAGTAAGGGATAAAAATGAGGATGAATCCAGTATCATTTTAATCTGCTATAACCAGAGCTTTGTGTTTAAGTCTCCAGGCTTCTTTAAATTAACTTCACCTACTTTTTGCTCCACGTTCAAGGTCACTCCGCCTCTGTACACCACGTCTCCATTATAAGCAGGGACCAGGTGGCTAAGTGCAGTCAGGGAGAGGGTGGCATCAGGGTCTATGTCCACAGAATCATCGTCAGTTGAGTGACAGTCTTCTCATGACACAGCCTGGCAATTACACCTTCAGGCAGGTCGTTTCCTTAGCGCCACACACGGCAGAGTAGACGTTGACCCTTGCCAATCTCCACATTTTGCAAAGCCTGGTACTTTTGTTACTTATTATTATTATGTCATTTAAAACACTGCCGGGGAGATAGCTTAGTAGAATAAGTGCTTGCCTTGCAAGCACAAGGTCCTGAGTTCAATCCCCGGTTCCACCAAAATAAATAAATGAATAAATAAATAAATAAATAAGTGCTTGCCTTGCAAGCACAAGGTCCTGAGTTCAATCCCCGGTTCCACCAAAATAAATAAATGAATAAATAAATAAATAAAATAAACACTAAGTGCCTTCTGAGAATATTTCTAAAGTACTTTCTCTGATATTTAGTCCAGAATGTTACAAAATGTAATCACTTAATTTCCTTAACAGATTTCACATTATAGTAGTGTATTTATTAATTAATATGCCTCTGGGAGTTTTAAGGACTAGACCTTAACTTAGCCACTTAAAAATAAAGGTATTTCTTCTATATCCTTCTTACTCAGTGAAAGGAAATACTCAGAATTACCTATTGGCAAAAATATTTTCATGTAAGTAGACATGCTTTTTTCTATTATTTACTCTGCAATTAAACCGTTTGCTTTTAGATATAGACGAAAACCACCTAAAATCTTTCTAAATTAATGTGATATGCATGGTTTATTTGTGAATTAAATATACATATTGCATTCTGTAATATTTATACTTGTTTGCTATGACAGTATCAAGAACACAATACTTATGAAAGCTTATTCAAATGCATATTACTTTTGTGTCTTGGGGTACTATCTCTACTATAACTAATATTTTCTTTAAATAGACTTGAAGTATTCTACTAACCATTATATTATATCATCAATGTGATCTGGATTAATATGACAATTCTGGTTTGTTTTGGTTAGAAAATTTTCTTACCCATTCAGCTAAACTACAGCCATAGTGTCTTTTATTCCACTGAGCCATCACCCCGGCCCCTTTCCTTCAAATTTCTAAGAAAGCCAATGTCTCCATTATCTTTCCCTGAAGAACTTAAGCTCGAAATGGTAATTTCTTATATTTTGAGAACAAAAGAAACAAACATTTTCTGAAGAAAACTTATTCTTTTAATTTTGATTTCTTTATGTTCTTGCGAAAGGAGACCAGGATAGAAGAATCCAGAAGCCATGCCATTTATTTTACAAATGGTGTTACAAATTAGCAAAGGCTTTGGTTTCTTTTCATTTAGTTAATTCCTTAAAAGAACCACTTACTAAATTGTATATCCAAGGAAAGGGAAGGGCAATTTTATTTTTTGTGCCTCAGGTTTCAGATATTCTTAATATGTATCAGGAATTTTTCCAAACATGAATTCAAAATGAATTGAATAAGGACCTAGTCCCATTTTGTACACAGGTAGAGAGAAAGTTAGGAAATCAAACAAGTAAGTATCACAGTGGATCTAGAACACAAAGTTTTGGCAGAAACAAGCTTAACAAAAACAACAAATGTAGAGGCAAAAAAAAAAAAAAGCCAGCAAAAAGAGAAGAGAGGTAAGGAAGGAAAGAGAAAGAGATGGGGGAAGAGGGATGGAAGGATGGAAGGAAGGGGGGCTATCAGGAGGGTTCAGGAGAGAAAGAAATTGTTCATGTATGCTATTCATATACAGGGAACCAGTTATCCATAAATTTTGTGTTGATATTCTTGGGAAATCTATACTAAGAAAAATCATTTTTCCACTATACTCTTGTAGCTTCAGTTATCTCTCTTAATCATTGTAAAACTTATATTCAAACTTTAATTATTTTATTTCTTTTGAATCTTAGTGTTAAGATTTTACATTGAATTTTGCATTTTATTTTTGTTTCTATTTTCATGTCTCTTTTATCAATTTCAATTTTTTTTCCTCTAAGAAGCATTGAAAGCTTATTAACGTAAGAAACAAATTGAGTATTTCTCCTTGCCTCTTTGTATTTTGCATTGAAATGTCATAAATAATTACAATTGTTCAAAACAGAACTTTGAGCCTTTGAAGAGTCATATTCCATAAATATGTGTTGTCTTGTAAACCTTTGCTTTATACTGATGTCAGTTGTACAAGGCAAGAATTTATTTTATTTTCATAACTCCCAGGATAGTACCTTCCCAGGGATAAGGTCACTTAGCAATTAGTTGTGGACTTGATGAGTGAGCGTATAGATGAATAGAGTTTCTCATATTGTAGCATGGAAGATCTATAAAATGCTAATGATTCATTAAAATGTAATAAGAAATTGATGGCCTAAATTTTACATAATGGAAAAGAAGCAGAAGAGATTTTTCATATTTTATTAGAGATTTAGCACTTTTCTTTCTAAATAACAAGATTGAATGCTTTGAAATATATTTGCACAACCTAGAAAGTGAGAGTTCTATGGTTCTTTAGGTAACCATCAGCGGGCAGTTGAAGGGGTAAAATGTTTAATATCTGTTGTTACAGGGATTCCAATCATGAACATCAACATTTCTTCTTCGTCTTTTTGAAATAAACTCTGCTTCCAGTTCTATATACAGAAACATAACAGCCTGAGAAGTTCCACTAGACATTCTTCTTTAAGTTAACCCCCCATACACACTCATGTCTAAGTATATTAAATATGTGTGCTTTACTGTTAAAGTGATGCTATTTACACTTGACTCTAGAATACATACCCTATCAGTAGGATATAAGGGATTAAGCTCTGGCAGTATTAAAGTTAGAACACTCACACGTTTGCAAATTTCAAAAGAAAATCCCTATAAAATAAATGCTCACTGCTTAATTAGAAGTGGTATGGAGCACATGGTACTTAGTTCTAGAGTTCAGGGGTCGAGGGCTCCCAGGAGCTGTGCTACTGCGGCGAGCAGGTGCAGTGCAGAGATGGAGAACGCTTCTGATGTGCAGGCCGTGGGCTTCTTGGGATAGTCCGAAAAATGAGCAGTTCAGTTATCTCCAAGAGGCCTTCCTGATGCAGACTGGACCTCAATGGTCCCATGGCTCTCCTCTTTCATTTGCTCCTTCTTCTTCTTCGGGGAATGCTGATTCATTCTGGCCTTTCAGGTGTTTGACTCCTGAAATTATATTTAAAACATTATGCAAAATTCAAGTGAAATTTCTTTCTAGCAGATTCACTGCTTTGCTGGAAGGGAAAAATGAGTGGAAAGTTTTCAATGGTATATATGTGCTTTTTTCCAAGAATCTCAACAATGTGATTCTATATCAACTTTTAGTTCGCTGAGCAACAAAAACACACCTAGCCAAATCTTCATTAGTGACAAGCTATCTTTTCTAATTAAATCTTCTCTAGTAAGAATTGCATCACATCTCATTAAAATGCTATTAAGCAAATTCTTCTCACAAGCTCTTATTACAATCCTGATGGTCCAAGTGATTCAAATATTGTTTTTGGCATCCTTGCACTTGACTACAATGAGGATCATTGAAACTCCCAAGAACAAAAGAGAGTATGGGGTGGGTGGGTGTGTGTGTGTGTGTGTGTGTGTGTGTGTGTATCATTTCTGTAATGTGTAAACAAAACAATCATAATATTGTTCATCTTCCTTTGGAATTTGAACCTACCCACTGGACTACTGGGCTTCTCCGTTCAAATTTCTCCAGTAAATGGAGCTGTAGAGTGGCACAAACACTGGCTTCCCGTTGCCTGCTACACCAGGCTCGGAGAAGCTGATCCCTCTCTACCTTTGGGATTCACATCTCACCAGCTCTTTTTCCACGTCTTACATTGATTTGTGCCTGAACCTAGATGCAACCTCCTCCTCCCCATTGCTTGCCCTTCTTCTATCCTCACTGCCAAACACCTCCTTCCTCCTACACACACTTTGTTTCTCCTCTCCTGCTCTGAGGACGAGCTCTGTTCCACTTGGAGACTTAGGTAGCACTTCTCCATATTCCCCCATTGTACATGGAGTACTTTCATCAACTACCTTTTAGTGAATATAGTGTGTTTATTTATATCTCTCTCATTACAGTAAACGCCTTGGTCAGAGAATGTGTAACTTCAATTTACAGCCCCCAGGCACTGAGCTGACGAAAGAGTAGTTGCTCATTAACAATATTTATTGCTTTAATGATTGATTGAATTAATGAAGGAATAATGTAGTTTATGACTGTCAGTTCTACCACAATCTATTTTCAAAATTAACTCATATTTGGAGTAGAAATTGAAAGGCCATTACTGCTACAATTACATTCAAAAAACAACATTGTCTTTTATTTTCAGTGGATCTGTTCTACTAAGACATTATCCTACCTGGTATTGTACACATAGGGTAATGCTTAGTGTGGAAATTTTCATGCATTTCACACTTTGTAAAATTGATTTATGAGTATATTTTAAGTATCACTAAAATAATATTCTAGTTAGAATAAATGAAGGGATGTCACTGATCATATTTGGTATAAAACAGAGTCAAGAAATGTGTCAATGCACATGCGCTGAGGTCTGTGAGCCTCCAAGTACTATTTGGCAAAGAACAACATCCTTGGACTTGGAGGATTATCTTGCAGAAATATTTGATCCATTGTAATAATATTTGAGTACTTTAATTTCATCTGCAAACACAGATCACTGACAATTCCTGTTGACCCAAGACTGTACAGAGAGATTTGTTATAAGAGAATGAATCGTGCTTCCTATTATTGTAAATTACATGGAAAAGAAGTCTAATATCAAAGGAAAAAAGAAAGGAGTCCCCTGAGTACCCATCTAGTTTCTCTGCTGGAATCTTACATCTATAGGCACTAAGCTCCACAGCTCAATGAGGTAAGCACCTAGGGGTGGGTTTAGACTCAGAGAAGAAAATAAGAGATTTGCTCAAGTTTACAAGGTTAATATTGTTCTAAGACAAGTTCTGACACATCATTTTCTCAATATATAAGAGGATGAATAAATGAATGAGTTCCATTATCAGGAGCTAAGTTTCCCATTTAGCTGTTTGGAGGGTCACCCAGACTTCCATTGAATTATCATAGGCTTAGGGTGCCAAAACTAAAACCAGTTTCAGGCTCTTAGGGTGTCTTCAGAAATGGTAATCTAGCTCCCTCCCTCCCCTTTCCCAAGCCGAAGTTTCCTGTGCCTCGCCAAATTTACGAAGTCCCTGGGACTCCAGAGCTCAACCCTTTCCTCCAGGAGACAACTGCAAAGTAGCCCGGCTGTGTTTGAATGAAAGTGAAAGTTCTACTGCCAGCACTGGTTTGCATAAATGACAGAATCAAATGGTTAAATGAATTGACAATTAAAATGTCCTATTTAACCACTTCCAGCCTCTTCATATTGCTTTCATTTTAGAATTATAATGGTGACAGAATTACAGAAGAAAGTCATACCTTTTTACTGCAAAAATCACTACTTGGACATCTATGACAATTCTTTTCTTAGCTGTATTTGATTATGAAATGAATTATTTCCAGGTAAAAGTTTAGATTAATTAGAAGCTAATTACACACCATTACAAAGACATTACACAGAACATCTGCCACGAAGTTTTTGGTTTCTAAAGCAGTTTACCTAACATATCTTTCAACTGGGTAATGGATAGTTACTTAATTTGTATATTGAAATAGACTTAGATCAGTATTTTTCTCTTCCTATAAACAATATTCATTTGATTGTAGATGCAAGAATGCTGAAATTTAATTATGAAACCTTCTGAGGATCATCAGATAATTTCTTTCTTTCCATCCTTTTAGCTTTTCCCAAACAAATGCTTTGGATTTCAATTGTCTGTAAACTCTCATTCAGAGATGGAGGGGAAAAAACATTGTTCTAGGAGTGTTGATGAAATTCCTGGTGGTACCTCTGCTGCCAATGCTAACGAGCATGAAGGAAATCCTTCACCCCAAGGGGCTGTGGCTTGGCACTATGCAGAGGCCTCCTGGGCAAGGGCAAACTCAGGCAGGGCTGCAGGCAGCAGGAAGCAAAGGAACCCTGGGAAACACAATGGAGGTACTTTTCTCATTACAAAAGAACACACAAGGAAAGGGATCATGCATTAGACCAGGATGTGATGTATGTCTATGTGAAGAAATAAAACAGACTGAATAGAAGGAGAAGAAAGAAATGCTGTCCACAAGCAGAACACAATGTTTCTATGTTCTTCCTGTTCTTTAGGTCAGGTGGTTAAATCTGGACTGGATTAAGTTGGGACACAATTGAGTGTAGTATGAATAGTGGATCAACTGACAGGAGCTTATATTTGACAAATCATAAGTCAATATTTTTGCTCCAATTATTTTGGAGCCCAAGAAGGCAGCCTTGGGATATTTGTAGATGACACCAAATTTGATATGACAAATAGCAAAAGTAGCATTCCAAAGGCTTTTCAGGATTTGGAATGATGGCCTAAGGAAAGAAGGTAGTGATCAACAAGTGATTTTGCTTTAAGATTATTTTGGTTCTAAAATAGAGAATGAGGGGAGCATTGATTGATATCATTAGGGCTTCTAGGTGACCACAGTTTTAACATGACTCTACAGGAGTTATCTCTTTCCAAGGACACAGCTGTTGACCCCATTGGTGGTGTTCCTAATGGCAGAATTACAGTTGAAAATGAGAACTTCTCTCCAGCCATGTACCAATCAGATCTTTGCCATGACTACTGCCTCATTCTTTGACCTAATTCAAAAGAACCATTGAACAGGGCAATTGAATTGGTTAAAAATAGTTATATGTAAGGACCAGGGAGATAGCTCAGTGGACTAAGCGCTTGCTTAGGCAAGCACAGGGACCAGGGTTCAATTGCCGGTACCATATGCCACACCCGCCCCACCCCTGGGCACACTGAGCCGGCCACCCAGACCAGGCATGGTGGTACACACCTATAATCCCAGCACTGGGAAGGCTGCAAACAGGAGGATCACTATGAGTCTGAGCTGTGTAGTGAGACCCTGTACCAAATACAATTATTAAAAAAAAGTTATATGTGAAAGCATTTTACTAGAAGAATTTCAAATGATATTGGGATATTTAGAATAAAAAATTAAGAGAGGACAACAGCAGTTGCCTTTGGAATCCTAAAATACTAGAAAAATTAATTTATGTAGATCTTGAGAGGAAAAATGCGGTCAAGACTGACATCTATGACTTGGAAGGAATATTATACTTCATTATAAGAAAGGTAGTTTCTAGATCCAGTTCTCCCTCTCCCTGCATGGTGGCTATACCAGGAACTGGAAGTCAGAGCCTCCCAACACTAACCATGTGTTGTATCATTAAACTATATCAGCAAACCTAGTTTCTAAGTTTTCTGTTTGTCAAGCAGCATGAATATGAGTGTGATCTCCTCATCACTGAGCAAATCTAAACTTCCATCCCTGAGGTAGGTCATAGTTGCACTGACAACTTCACTCTCTCTGATAGAAAGGCTACCAATCTACAAAGAAAACATTTTGTATTACAGGAAACAATACTTTACTAAGAAAGTTTTCTCATCAAATGACATAATCGTCCACTTCACAGCTGAAAACTAATTGAGAGTAGTCAATGTAAATAGATTTTTTTTCAGCCACATACTTTAGACCTTCAAAACCATTCTAAAGTGTTCTCCAAGGAATCTGTGGGTGGATTTTAGAGAATTCCTCTCAGAATTTTATTTATAGTTACATCTGTGCTTTTGGAGGGGGAAGAAGGTTTTTCAGCAGAAACACGGAGGGGTCTTTGATCTCAAAAGAAATTATGCATATGAATATGAGACTAACCTCTTGCTTAAATACAAAGCAATAGCTCAGATGGCAAAGTGTCTTGCTTGAATTCAGTCTTTAGCTGAGCTTGTACACAAATATTGATCCTCGACATCTACTGAGGGCTCCATAAATGGGTCCCTATCTTTTACAGTCTTTTACCTGTTCCAAAATTAGAACTTAAAGAAAAAGAATGTTACTAAGAGTAATAGGATTCTTTTTACTAAAAAAAAATATAATAACTTCATGTAGTAGATTTCACTGTAACTTCTCAGTCTTCCTGTTGTGATTGTTTTTAGTAGAATTTGGTGTCAGGTAGATGTAGAATTTAAGTTTGTCCACGAAGAACAACAACAACAAAAGTTTACCCAGG